GTCTAAGATTTTGTTCTTTTTATTTGATATTAAAAAAAAAAGTTTATAATTATGGAGTAAGTCCTAAGCTTTAATTGAAAATATCATAAAAATATGTATTTCAAAATATATATTAGTGCAAATATTTAAAAAATTTTTTTAAATCTATATAAATCTCCAAAATATTTTGTTTATATTATATATGCATGTACGTTTATATATGCATGTACGTTTGTCTTATTATATTTATTTAAAAAATTATAAATATTTATAAAAATTGCTTAAAAATTAGTGTCGGTTTTTAAACATTGATTTATGCGGATATAACAAGAAATATCATAAAAATATATAGATAAATGAATTTTGGCAATTATCGTTTAAGCTGAATGATGCTTGATAAAAAAAGTCTTACGAAAGGAAGTGAATAATGCTTAATTGATATTAATCAATCTAAGTAAACATAAATACATGAAAGAATGTAAATAAAAGATAAATTATGCTTGGATTTATTATTATATGACCTTATACTAACTTTCAACGTACATGTCTGGACTAACGCAGCTCTGTACTTAAAAAGTTTGAAAAATTGATACACGCACATTTATCCCTACAACTTCATATCAAACACGTATCCATTACTTGTATTAGAATAATTATAGTATTTCTAAATTCATGAGAGTTTAAATTAAAATAAAAAATCGAGTGCAAATCAATGAGTGAAGAATATATAATATGCGTTCCAACCGATTACGTTATATATTCTTTATGTTAAATAAGTCTCTCCCACCAGTATTATATTTAAGGGGTTAGACCATCCCTGAGGAAAACCCTTTTGAAAAAATTGAATTTTTTGCTTAAATCGTTAACTTTTAGTCATAAAAATGCGATGGAAACGATTTTGTAGCGAAATTGCATCTCTATCATGTTGTTAGAGCTGTCGATTATTACAAAAAAATCTTCTTGAAAAACTTTAAACGCATTTTTCTCAAAATAGTATTTTTTAAATCAACGTAATTCAATTTTCATCCGATTTACTTGAAATTTTTACAGGATATTCTTTAATACATTCTGTAAAGAAGCACGTAGGTTTTTTTTTTGAAATATTGAAAACTTTTTTATTAATATTTTGTGATTTTCAAGGCAAAAATGCAATTAATATTTTTTATACGTAAATTTGGAGGCAAAAATACAATTTTTTTAAATAGTTGCCATATTTAAAAAAATCCCTACGTACTTCTCTAGTTTTTGATATGTAGATAATAAAAATTCTTTGTATTTTATTTAAAGTCAATCCTGTACACCGATTTAAAACTGTAGAAAAAACGGATTCAGGCAGTGGATCAATGTGCCGCAATTTTAAACATAAGGCTAATAAAAAAATATTTTTTTAGTTTGTTATATATACACTAAAGCCTTCTAAACAGTTTTTAATCATAGTTTTTAATCAGTTTTATTTACCCCAAAAACAATTCCCAAACTTAAGTATTATTTTAGGACCTCAGGAGTGAGAGATCTAGTCCTTTAAAAACATAATAATTTTCAGTATATCTTGAAAATAAATTATTAAATTTTTTTTTATTTTTAGCTGATATTTAGACGTATATATCTACAGCTAATGTCAAATTATACATAATTATAAAATAGATATAAGATGTTTTAATACTTTTGTAGATGTAAAGTTTATAAAAACCGTAAAAAAAGTTACATTTGCGAAGAAAAACATATCAAATTGTGTATTTTCTCTCAGAAATAATTAACGTTCTTCAGTTTTAAACTTTTAAGGACCAGAGTTTTCTAAGTAACTCATGGAAGATCTTGCTTCCGAAAAGTTCGAGATCGCTAAATTCAATTCTAGACTCAGAATTCTAAAATTCAAATTTCAAAAATATATTTTGACTATCGTGAAACTCGATTTTAGGAAGAATATCCGAGTTTAAATGTAGCTTGAAAAATTGAATTCCAAAGGAACAGTAATCATTATGTAAAAGAAACTTTACCACAGTTTATAATCAGAGTTTAAAAGTTGATATAAAAATCAGCATTAACTGTTTACATATTGATGAGCTTCAAGTACAGCAAAACTGGAAACTTGGTGTTATTATACTTCGCAATAATAAATTCCCTAAAATCGAGTTTTACAGTAATTTTTTAAAAAATTCTGTCCGATACATTGAATCCATCTTTCAAATTTTCTTTTTTATTTTCAACCTCAGATTCGAATAAAGCATAATGAAATTAACCCATAAGCCATGTTTCATAAAAATTGAGCGAGCAATTTATAAAATAAAAGAAAGCCTCATAAAGAGATCCACAGAGGGTTAGAGAAGTTGCATCATCTAAAATTAATTTGACTTCAGAGAGAAAGTTTTCATCTCAAAAAGCGTGTTATATTTACTTCATTTTAATTATTTAAAATTATCCTAAAAATTATTATGCGTAACATCTGTCAAATTTTAAATTCATTTCTCGTACTAATTTTATTTAATAAGACATCAAAGAAACAGAGATCGCGTTTTGATGTTATACTATAATACTTCAATATCAAAATTTACGCGACATCGAATCTTTTCCGTGTTCAGAAGAACGAGAGAATGAT